GAATAGTCCGTCCCCCATCATAGAATTAGCCTACACTCACATTATTACACTCTCTGGTTTTTCATCCACTTACCCCGGGATGTTTCTGACTGGAAGGGAGGGGAGGAGAGAGAGAGAGGAGTGGAGTGGAGTGGGAGAGGAGCGGAGAGGAGAGGAAAGGAAGAGGGCCCCCGGGGGCTTGGGAGATTCCAGCTAGGCCCTCGGGGCTTAGGGGACCAGGGATGGGAGGAAAAAGGCCAGGGTGCCACAGGGGACCCAGACCCCGGGGCTGGGGGAGCCCGGGCCCCACCGGAAGGGGATATTGTGCCCGCCACTCCCAGAGGCTAGGACCGCGGTTGACATCTCGGACCTTGAGGTCCCCGGAGAACTCGTTGAGGCTGCCGATGTGCCTGAGGACCACGTCCCCGTAGCGGCCGAAGTCCAGGGGCAGCAGGTGATCGTGGCTGAGCCGGATGAGCAGCAGCCCCGCGAGCTGGGCCACAGCCTGGGCCACGGCGGGCAGGCGGCCTCGCAGCATCCTGTGCAGGTTCTCATAGGTGTCCTCCTTCGTGTGCAGGAACGGGTAGGCCTGGTCATCCTGCCGGGACACGGAGCGGCTGGGGCAGCACGTGGTGCGGGCGGACGGTGGGGCTGGCGCTGGGGGCCAGGGCGGGAGGCTCACTCACCTCCAGGAAGGAGAACTCAACGGCAGGGACCCCCGCGAAGGCCGTGAAGGAGTAGGCACTGCTGTCCATGGGCAGGGGTCTGATCCTGGGGGCAGGAAGGTTGGGGGGAGGGGCTCCATGGGCTCAGCCGCCCCTCCTCCCATCCCCCCAGCTCCCTCCCACCCCCACTTACACCTCTGCATCCCAGCTGGGATTGGTGACCACCACCTGCTGGTAGAGGGTCTGCCCACTGTGGTTAGGGGAGTCCACCTGGGGACAAGGTGCGGGCTGGGGTCAGCTCTGTCCGCACCAGCACCCCTGCCTGAGCTGTGCTTCCCAGCGGGCTCTTGCCTGCTTCAAGATGCTCTCAATGAGGCTGATCAGAAGGGGGCTGGTCTTGGCGTGGAATTTGTCATCTCCTGAATGGGCAGAGGGAGATGGCTTAGGCTTGGTGGGCGAGAGGGCGGACCGGGAGCTTTAGGGCCCGGGGGCGGCACTGTCCCCGGCTCACCCATTACCGCGTTGTCCAGGCTCACGTAGACCACGGCCTTCAGGTGCAGCACGCTGAGGTAGCCCTGTGTGTGTGTGCAGGTGGGGTATGGGGGGGGTGTTCAGGGTATGGAGGGGAGCCCCCAGCTCACCTGGCTGTCAGGCCACCTGCCCAGGACCCCACGTCACCTCCAGCCACTCGGTGGAGCCCACGCTTCCAAAGTCGCCCCCATCCCAGCTGATGAAGAGCAGACTTCTGCGGGGCCGGAAGCCTGGGGGGCAGAGGGAAGGGGCATGGCTGGGGCCAAGCAAGGACCCCCCTCTCTGTGTTCCTGTGTCCCAGTCACATCTCTCTCAGTCTGCCTCACCCTGCGTCTGCCCTGTCTCAGCTCCGCCAGTGCCGAGCTGGCTTTGCCTACAGGAAAAGGAGGTTCGGCGACAGCCGGGGCTGTGGAGGAGGCAGCTTTGGAGCCCAGGGCATGGTTGCCACCCTCCCAACTGCCTCTGGTCCCAGCCCCAGCACCGCAGGGCCCAGGCCTTGACCTTACCGTTGCTCACCATGGAGGAGAAGGTTCGCACCAGCTCCAGCAGGATAGCAGTGCCCACGGCAGACTTGGCTGCTCCCGGGCCCCAGGCGTCTCTCTGGGCTCCAATGACAACATAGTGATCTGGGGAGGGTGTGTTGGGGGCCCAGCTCTTAAAACGGGGCCCCACCCCTCACGGCTCCATCCTCTCCGCCAGCCCCATCTCTGAGCTGCCGCGTGTCGGCCACCCCAGTCCTGTCCCCTTGGCTTTCCCCAATGGCCTGCTCCCTCGGCAGGGCGGCAGGGGACACTCCCGACTCTGTTGTCTCACTGCTCCTCAGGTTCCGCTGGTTGCTGGGTCCCGACAGGTTTTCCCCTCTAACTCCCTGCTCCCATTCCCACCTCCAGCCTCCTCGTCTGAACCCCACCGCAGGCCTCCCTGCTCCTGCCCGGTGGCACTTACCTGTACCACTTAAGCCCTGCTCTCTCTAGGTGAACAAGCTGCGTTGGCCCCCCACCAGCTATATCCGGTTAACGCTTGAAAGGGTCATGGCTCTCATCTGACCTCCTTCATGCTTGGGTCTCTGTTACCCGCCAGCCCGGGGCCTGCTCACCTCCGGCGCTGGAGGGCTCACTGTGGGGCAGCACTGCCCGTTCCGCTGCTGGGTGCTCCATCCGTCCCCGCTCAGCCTCTGTCCACCAGCCTCCCTCCCCTGTCCCCTCTGGGCAGGTAAGCATACCTGGCTCCGAGAGGCCCTCGATGCAGCCAAAGATGTTGTTAATGGGGGTGGAGGCCTTGTGGTTGTTGACCTCAAGGAGCAGGCCTGGCCCAGGGCCCAGGTGATAAGGGGGACCCGGCAGGTGCCCCTGCCATTCCTGGGGGGCCACAGGGCCTTTGAGCTTCCTGGAGAGGAATAAGACAAAGGATTGGCAATGGCCGAGGGCCAGGCTACAGAGGAACCCAACACCCACTCTTCACCCTTTCCCTTTCCCTCCCACCCGCCTCTGGCTCCAGCTCTCTGCCCCTACCCTGTGTCCAAGGGGGCAGTGCAGCCCAGGCTGCCCTGGACAGTTGTGCAGGGCGTGTCTTGCACCAGCGCCCAGGAGAGCTGGGTGGGAAATCTAGCTGGAACTTCATAGGCCAGTCACTCGGTCCTGGCCAGAAGTGTGTCCGCCCAGAAGAAGGGTCACCTTTTTCTAGTTCACCTGCTCCCCCCGGCCCCCTCCTGCCTCTCACCCCAGCAGCTGGGAAGCAATGTCTCCACTGATGGGCTGGGCTGGGATGCTGGGGAGGCCTGAGGATTCCACCGGAGGGAACTGGGTTTGGTTGAAGGAAGGGAAGCCAGGTGTGTAGGGGTCGCCAGTTCCCAGGTGCACCTGTGGTAGAAAGGGTGCCCACCCTGAAACTCTGGGCTGGGCTTCCCTGAATGGGTGTGGGGGGTCAGCCCCCTTCCCAGCAAGGAGGCATGGCCTTGGGATCCCAGGAAGGCACTGCTGGTTTCCCCGAGACTCACGTGTCCATACACAGCACGGTGGCTGGCCAGGCCTAGCTTGTGTGCGTCCAGGGAGAAGTCGGCTGGGTCTGGGTATATGAGCACCCCCCGGGCGCCAAAGGCCTGGGCGCTGGCCACCTGTGGGAGCAAGGCGGCCACAAGACTCCTTCACCCAGAGAAACCAGTCATGTGGGACAAGACAAGCGAGCACAGTTTACAATGCACAGCCTTTGGCCTGCACTTGTCTAGCCTCTGGGTGACACCACTTGGCCCTTCAAACCCGACGGTACCCCACAGCCCCTCAAGTGATTGCTCCCTGCCTGGCTTTTGGTTCCTGCCAACATTTTCTTCCTACTGGCTTGTCTCTTTTCTTTTTTCCTTCTGACAACCTTCCACCCACTGCCAGGGGGCATCTGGTCCTGGAGCCCCCCCAGCTCCACGCTGTCCACCACCAAGGACCCTCACCTTCTGGGCAAAGCTGGTCACACCCACGCGCACCAGCAGGAGGCGGCCGGCTGGCTCCACGCCCCTGGCCCGCAGGTCCTGCAGGTCCTCCGGGCGCCCATAGTGGGCGTACACCAGCTCTCCCTGGGGACACAGAGGACGGTGACCCGTGCTACCCGCCCTTCGAGAGAAGGGACCGCGCTGTCCCACACCCTGGCACGGGCAGGAGACACTCACCGTGGCGTTGCCCGTGGCGCTGTAGGGACAGTAGGCATCGGGGTCCTCCAGCTGGAGCTGCTCCCCGGCTCTCCCGGCCGTGTCGACCCAGTGCAGGGTGTTGGGGTGCGCCCTGAGGAGTGGAGGTGGTGAGTGCCCCTGGCCGCGCGTGCACCCGCTGCACGCCCGCATCCCCCACGCACTCACGGGTCCGGGAACTGCAGCCCCACGTAGTGCGTGTCAGTCCACACATGGTCCAGCTTCTGGCGGGAGAGCGTGGCAAGGATGTCCTGGGCCAGAGCAGCCATCCCGGCTGAGCCGGCCACCCGTTCCCGACGGCTGGTCTGTCTGAGTGGGGAGAGGTGGCGTTAGGGCCTCGGAGGAGATGGAGAGAAGAGGGAGGATGCCAGAGACGGAGCTGCCCCAGGCCCGCGGCAGCCAAGGTAAGCAGGCGGAGGCAGCAGACCCTCCATCTCCTCCCTGTGTGCAGGGCTCTCGCCTCTGCCATGGGCTTACCCGCACAGCCCACTGTCAGTCGGCTCCCCCTATGGCCTTTTTGCTGAGACAGACCCTCTCCCACCTCCACTCCTCATCACAGAAGACCCCTCTGAGGGCTGGCCTGAGACACCAGGCGGCCTGGAGGCTCTTAGCTGGTTAGTTGGTCAGGTAGTGAGTAGATAGTTATTGGGCCAGTGCTGTGGCCTAGCAGGGAAAGCCGCCACCTGCAGTGCCGGCATCCCATATGGGCACCTGCTTCACTTCTGATCCAGCTCTCTACTGTGGCCTGAGAAAGCAGTAGAAGATGGCCCAAGTCCTTGGGCCCCTGCACCCGTGTGGGAGACCTGGCAGAAGCTCCTGGTTCCTGGCTTCAGATCGGTGCAGCTCTGGCCATTGCGGCCATCTGGGGAGTAAACCAGTGTATGGAAGACCTCTCCCTGTCTCTCTCTCTCTGCCTCTCTGTAACTCTGACTTTCAAATAAATAAATAAAAGAGGTATTTATTATTATTTATTTGAAAGGCAGCGTAACAGAGATGGTGAGGCAGAAGCAGAGAGAGAGATCCTCCATCTGCTGGTTCACTCCCCAAGTGGCCATAAGACAGGGCTGGGCCAGGCAGAAGCCAGGAGCCGGAAGCTTCCCCTGGGGGTCTCCCACGGGGTGCAGGGGCCTAAGGACCTGAGCTATGCTCTGCTGCTTTCTCATGTGATCCAGCAGGGAGCTGGATCAGAAGTGGAGCAGGCAGGACTCAAACTGGCACCCCCATGGGATGTCGGGGCCACAGGCAGTGGCTTCGCCTGCCATGCCACGGCTCCAGCCAGGCCTGGAGATCTGAAGAGAGAGATGCTCTGCTTCTCACCCCCCCAGGGCTTGGAGGAGGCAGACTCGGGCACTCGGATGTGGGGTGCGTGGACTTGTCAAGTGGGGGTCTTAAGCACTGTGTGGATTTTGAAGTAGTGCAAAAACATAGTGGGCCAGGGTGTGCAGAGGAAAGGGGTGGGGCGGGGCGGGGGGAGGGAACAGATCAGCAGGGACAGCTTGATGGCCTGGCTTCACAGGAAGAGAGTTCCACCCCAGGAGAAATGGTCAGAACCTGAAAGAGTAGAGCCAGGAGCAGGCATGGCAACACGCACTTTAACCCACTAAACTTCGCACCTTTCAAAGGTGCATCCGTTCTGCCCTGTGTGCCTCCGGCTGGCTGTTCTCCCTGCTGCACAGGACTTCACAGTGTGTACCACCGTTATTCTCTGGACCCACTGAACAGGTGGGATTTCAGTCACTCAAGCTCCAGGGGACGTGGGGGTGGGGGTGGGGGCGGACATGACACCGGACCCGAACCGAGGATAATGGCTGAGCTATGGGTTTTACTTTCGTTTTGTTTATTTGAAAAGCAGAGAGGCAGAGATAGACACAGAGAGCTCTCCCATCCTCCCCAGCAGGGAACAGCGCCCACTGCAGGACGAGACACACACAGGGTGCCTTTGCTGTGCCTCATGACTGCCAGTCTGGAGGCGAGGTCTGTGCCCACAAAGGCACTTGTTCCTGGCTTCTTTCTCTGGTTCCCTGTATCACCCCTTCTCGGCGCCCCTCAAAACGCTCCACTGCCGTGTGTCCAGCACTCAGGGCTCTCCTGGCCCGTCCTGCCTCTGTCTTGTACAGAGCCTCACCCCCCACACACCTCAATCCCCGATGCCCCTCCCCGCCCAGGGCTGTAGACCAGGGAGGCCGGCAAGGCGGGTGGGAGGGCTCAGAGGGGGCCGACAGAAAAGGAGGCTCAGTCTGAGCCGGCAAGGGGGAGGGACTCTTCACAGCCAGGTGGGGGCCAGGCTGACGCTCACCTCATTGTGTCCTCCAGGCGCCCCTCCCCCAGGTGCCGCAGGAACATGGCCTGGAGGTCGCTCCAGTACAACGTGCCCTGGTGGAAGTCCAGGCCCTGCTCGTAGTTGACATCGTCGCCGACCACCAGCACGGAGTCCCCGCAAGCCTGGCAGGTCCCTCGGAAGGCCACGTAGCCCAGAAGGAAGGCTGGCGGGTGGCAAGACAGGCATTGTCCTTGTGCCCCCGTCTGGACCCCAGGGATCTCCCCCAGCCCCAGCCCCAGCCCGGGGCCCTGCATTGTGGCGGTGGGGATGGCTCTCACCCCCCGTGAAGATCAGAAGGGCGGTCAGGACCAGGTACGGGGCAGCCTTTTGTCCTGCTGCTGCCCAGGGTATGTTGCCGGGACGCCCTTGTCTAGAACCCAGGGTCTCGGGGCCCTTCAGCTCCATGGGGCAGAAGCTGGCCGGTGGCTCGGCCCCCTCCTCCCCTTCTTCCTCTTCCTCCTCCAGATGTCCTGGCTGGGGGCCTTCCACACGCCTGTAGATGGTCTGGGAGGACCAAGGGGACAGCTGTTGCTGATGGGGGGTGGGTGGGCATGAGACTGGGGAAAGTGGTCCGGGGGATGGGGAAGGATCTGGTGCTAAGAGGGTCAGCAACTTTGGGGCAGGGGTGACGTCTGGGAGGTAGGCTGAGAGGGAGGGCAGGGGGGGAGAGGAGGGGCCAACCCTCAGGGTTTGAGAGGGGGCTGAGGGCCTGTCCCCCACCTTACTGGTCTTACCGCTCTTCGGAGTAGACCCCAAAGTGGCTCCATATCCTTGTCCCCTCCTGAGCCCTGCAGGCTGATTCCCAGCCCCCCCCCAGTGACAAAACCGTTTGTGGGAGCCCCCAGGGCCCCTTATCAGCCCTGGCAGGCAGCCGGAGCCCAGCCGCCCTCCCTCCCTAAGGTGGCCTCAGACCCGCCCTCCAGACATGACCCCAGCCCAGGCCCAAGCAGAGGGGCTGTGCCCTCCCTGCCAATCCCTCCACAGCCCCACTCCTGCCCCCACCCTGCAAAGCAATCAATTTTTTGACATTGGGGCAGACTTTGGCCTCCTAGTTCCTGTCAGGGGTGGGGGAGGAGGCCAAGTAAGGAGGGGGCAGGGTGTAGATGTGGCTACCCCCTCTCTCCCACTTCCACCCCTCCCAGTGCACAGGGGGGCCTCTTCCCAAGCCCCCCACACCACTGTGGAAGGCTCACCATGAAGACCTGGGCCCCCTCCTGGTCCAGCCTGCAGGATCCCTGGGGGTGGGGGTGGGGGAGGGGTGGGGGTGGGAGAACCTAAGCTGGATCACACAGTAAGGGGCTGGGGTTTGGGCTCCCATGAGGAGCTCTCTCTGCAATCAGTCCCCTGCTGGCTCTGGCAAGGTGGGAGAACCCGCCCCCCCCCCAACCCAGTGATTGCTCCAGGATAGGGGTCTGGGGTCAGGGAAGGAGCCCTGGCCAAGGTGTGGGCAGGGCTGGGTGACCTTGGGCAAGTCATGGCCCTCCTGGGCACTGGCGCCTCTGCTCTCGGTGGAACTAGGATCAGGGGTTTTCTGCCTCTTTTGGGTCCGGGACCCACTCTCTGAGAGTCTGAAGAAAGGCTGGGTGCCCTCACCCCAGAAACACATCCCAGGCGCAAATGGCTGCAATTTCACCCCAAGGGCGCAGGTCCCCAAGCCCCAGTGAAGAGCCCAGAACAAGCAGCTCTTAATGGGAGGGCTCAGGGGTCTCCCCGGGGAAACCCCAGCTCCTCCCCAGGTCCTGAAATTCTGAGCTGTTGAGATGTATCAGTGCCCCAGCGCCCGCCTCGTGCCTGTCACCGCCGGGAGCCCCGGGAAGGCACAGCGCAGTCCCGGCTCACCTGAGCTGCAGGTCCCGGGGTGTGTAAGCGCAGCTCGCCTGAGACTCCAGGCCCGGCGGAGGCCCCGCCCCCGCCCCGCCCCCGCCGCCGCCTCTGCTCCGCAGACCCTCCCCCAGCTCGCTCCGAGCTGGCCCCGAGCTGGGTCCGGGTGCCGCTGACACGTGGGGCGATCGGGTCTTTCCTGGGGTTGTTCCCGGTGCCACTCGCCTCCCTCCGCCCCAGCCCCAAGGAGGTCAAACTTGTTTTGTTTTAATTAAAACCTTTTTACTTCTTTCAGCTCAGAAACATCTCAATCTAAGAGGACGAGGGGGGCGGGGAGGGGGCGCCGTGCGCTGGTAGGGGGTAGAGGGCTTCGATCTGCGCTCGCTCCGTGGAGGCCTGGCCCCGAGCCGGCCCCGCTCCTGAGCGCCCCTGCCCGCAGCAGGGGGCTGAAGAGGGGGCGCCCTCAGGGGCACTTCCGCTCCACGCACTGCTTCCCGCCCTCCTCGTACTCCTGTTTGGAGATCCACATCTGCTGGAAAGTGCCCTAGGTGGGGGGGACAGGGTCAGGACGCGCCGCCCGCCCCCCACCCCACCGCGCGCTTGAGCCCCTGCCCCTCCCGGCCGCATCCCTCTCCACCTCTGTTCCATATTCGTTAGGAGAATGCCCGCTTCAGCGTTCAGCGTTCAATCATTCATTCACAAGTATTTACCGAGCTCCTGGCTTGCGCTTACCAAACACCTAACCCTACACACACACCACGCCTGCATCGGGATCAGGGGGAAATCCAGGCCTCCCCCCATTTCCTACAAATACCTCACCACCCAGACACCACCTAACTTCCAGGAGGCAGGTGCTCTGTCGCCACATCCCCACCCCTGTTGAGACTGTCCCTTCCACGTCTCTGTGTCCCCAATTTCTATCCCTATTTCTCTTCTCAACTCACTGGATGGCCTTCTTGGGCCATCTGGTCTACCTCACCCCTCCCCAGGATCCCAATCTCTTGTCCTTGTCCCCTGAGTATCTCTGCCTGAGTCTCCCTCGGCCCTCATATTCACACGAGATTTCACCATCTTCCTGCAGAGCCTACCCAGTCCTGCTGCTGCCCTGGCCTTTCTCACCCCCTACACCCGGGCTGCCCCGGGCTGTCCACCAGCCTCGAGTGGCTAACGAGCACCTGAAATGTGGCCAGTCCAGGTTGAAGATGTGCTCCAAGTGAGAAAAATACACTGGGTTTTGATGACTGAGTACAGAAAAAAGGGTGTAAAAGATCTTGATTGGGGCCGGCGCTGTGGCGTAGCAGGTAAAGCCACCTCCTGCAGTGCCGGCATCCGATATGGGCACCAGTTCAAGTCCTGGCTGCTCCACTTCCAATCCAGCTCTCTGCTATGGCCTGGGAAAGCAGTGGAAGATGGCCCAAGTCCTTGGGCCCCTGTACCCACGTGGGAGATGCTGAAGAGGTTCCTGGCTCCTGGCTTTGGATGGGTACAGCTCTGGGCGTTGGGCCATCTGAGGAGTGAACCAGTGTATGGAAGTCCTCTCTCTGTCTCTCTCTCCCTGCCTCTACCTCTCTGTAACTTTGCCTTTCAAATAAATAAATAAACAATTCTTTTTAAAAATCTCACTAAGAATTTCTTATATTGATTGCCCATTAAATTATGGTGTTTTACACACACTAATTCAAAAATACTCTATTTTCAGCTGTTTCTTCGTAGTCTTGGCTCTCCATAACCGCCCATTCTGTACCAGCAGATTCAAAACATTTCATCTGAACGGAACAAGTACAGAGTACTTTTTCTTGTGATTCTGAAGGAATACAGTGTAACAACTGTTGATGTAGGCCAGCACCGCGGCTCACTAGGCTAATCCTCCACCTTGCGGCGCCGGCACACCAGGTTCTAGTACCAGTCGGGGCGCTGGATTCTGTCCCAGTTGCCCCTCTTCCAGGCCAGCTCTCTGCTGTGGCCAGGGAGTGCAGTAGAGGATGGCCCAAGTGCTTGGGCCCTGCACCCCATGGGAGACCAGGAGAAGCACCTGGCTCCTGCCATCGGATCAGCGCGGTGCGCCGGCCGCAGTGCGCCGGCCGCAGCGGCCATTGGAGGGTGAACCAACGGCAAAGGAAGACCTTTCTCTCTGTCTCTCTCTCTCACTGTCCACTCTGCCTGTCAAAAAATTAAAAAATAAATAAATAAAAAAAAAACTGTTGATCTAGCGTTTACATCAAATTAGGAATTGTAAGTAAGCTAGAGATGGTTTAATGCTTACAGGGGAACGTGCAGAGGTTCCGGGCAATATGAAGCTATTTTATATAAGGGTCTTGAGCATCCAGGGATTTCGGTATCCAAGGGGTCCCAAAACCAATTCCCAGCCATCACTGAGGTTACTAGAAAACGTATGATCACGTATGTGACTTGTGTCGTGTTCTTGCTGGACAGTGCTGCCCTACGCCTGCCAGAGTTAGTGGGCTGGACCTCTTGCCTGCAAACAATCCACATTCTGTCCATGAACTCACTGATTAGCTCCCTCTGCCAGCGCTGAGAGCCACTCCCCCCTCACAGCAGGGCCCATGCTTGCCCTCTGCCTCCTTCCAATCCACCCTGCAGCCCGGAACCCACTGCACCTGCCCTTGGCCTGGGGCCTTGCTTGGCTCCCCAGGTCTGGGTACCCTCCCTTTCTTTTTCACCTCTTCCCATCTCAGCTCCTTGGAGCCCCTTCATGACCCCTGACCTGCACCAGATTCTCCAAGGAACACCTGTGCACTTTGTGGCCTCTTCCTTATGATGGTCTCTGTGGCAGACTGTCTTGCTCATGCAGCTGGGGTCTGTCAGGCTGTATGTCTAGAACAAGCACACCCTAGGCCTGCGGTAATGTGCTTGACCTGCCCCTTAGATAAGCCTTTAGATAAGCGTGGACCCTGCAATTTTTCTGAGCCTCATTTCTGTCTTTCTGGGGTTCCCCTTCTAGTGGCTGGCCCTGCTGTCCTCTGCGGTGGCTGGCGCCCTGCAGATGGAGTCTGCATCCCAGCTCCCTGCTCCACGCCTTGCCTCTGCCCCAGCAGCAGATCCACACTGCACTCACCGCCTCCGGCCCCAGACCCTGCCTGTCCGCCTCTTTCTCCAGTGGCCCTTCACTCTGCACCCCCCCCCCCAGATACCCACTCCAGGACTCCAGCCACCTTTCAAGAACCCTTTGATTCTAGATCTCAAGGGTCTGGTGGTCTTCCCTGAAGGACCTGATGGTCACATCACTTCCTTACCCTAACCTTGACCCCCTGACCCCAGACTACAAGCTGATCCCAAGAACTACCAAGCAGGCCTGCTTT